CTAAACAAATAAAAAACATTGGAGAGAGAGGAAGTATACATAAAGAGACAATTTCTTCCTTCACCTTCGACATTTAGAATCAATCAATAAATAAATAAGTGAAGAAATATTGGAAGTCATGATTCTTGTTCTCCTCTATTTATTAATCTTTTGTATCCCTCTAGTTTCATTTGCGGAGCATATATATTATACGGCAACATTTCACTGATGCTGCTACGACGATAGGCTAAATCCGCTCAATCCCCAACGATATCGAAATGCAATGAAACTATCAGTGCGTAGTAGTTAATAACACTTTGTCCATCTTAGCTACTGGTTAACCTAAATCATAAATTGAACTGACCATAGTTGTAATATTGTATATGATTTACTGCCCTTCGTGGATATTGTTCTGTATTAGAAATCGATGCTTGAGGTAATTCTACACTAACGATCAGCGCCATTATCTAACAGTATATACTCGTAATTTTGCATCTACCACATTCCAATACTAATTTTCGCAATATTCTGGTTCTCACAGCGTTTCAAACAATTTGTAATTATTACACTGAAATTGGGCCAAATTGTAGCCAGATGTTGGAATGTTAACGTTCATAGATTAATACTATGTTTATTATTCAAGCATTCAAAGGATTAACTTTACTATGCTTGCTCTCAAATTGTGTTCTGATGAATTTTTCCCTTTTCGTTTCTTTTTTTCTTTTCTTTTTTTTTTAAGAATATTACAAATTTTAGAGAAAATTATATAAACTTTACACGAATATGACATTACTTCTTCCGGTACTTTTCAAAAATTTTCTCGCATTATTCAGTGCATAGTTGGTCGCAATAAAAACGATTTGTTTAGTTTACCAAAAAAAAATATATATATATATATATATATATAGATCAAGCAACACACACTGAATTGCTACTGAATTAGGATGGATGGCATTATGCAAATATCGGGGCCTTGCTGCCTCACATTAGCGCTTATGAGGGCGTTGCACAGGCTGCTAGGAAAATATCTGACAAAAATGTAAAGGTAGACACAGGATACCAAAATGAGCAAATTACGTAATATCAAAATGAAGTTTATATGATTCGAGCGCTGTTGAATGGTAAAAAAAAAGCGTTCAACTGGCCTAAATTGTCTCCCCCCCCTACATATTTCGAGGAGTATGCATTGCTACACGAACGCGAAGGTCACCGATGTGAAGTTTATCTATGGGAATGTGGCTAAAACAAAGCAGGTGCTAAAAAGAGGTACAATGAACTACTTTCATGTATCTACTTTGAGGAGCGACTCCGTTTCCATCTGAAGTCCTACAGATAAAATGCTTGGCGGCACACTTCACTGTCGAGTAGCGATGAGTGTCACTCGAAATCCGCACAGGAAATGAGAATTCTCATTATCTCCCACTCAACAGTAATCTGTAACTCCACAACGCGCCATTAGGATATATACGTTCCATACATAGTCTATTTATTTCGTTCCCTTCTGCCTGCCTTTACATTTTTGCCAAATATCTTCAGGTACCCTTTATATGGATCGAAGCAAAACCCTTTCTAAGCAATTATTAAAAGTACCATGCTAGCAAAAACTCGCAATCTAGATGCCTTCATATGAGAACAAATAATAGTTGCTTTACACATTTGGTGTCAGAAATAGTTTGAAAATTAAGTTTTCTCATTCCGTGGTATCAAGAGTGAGGCAAGAATACATGCATAGCAGAAAAAGAAACAGCAGCCAGGAAGAATGAAAAGTTTTTTTTAATTACAGCAAAGCACATAGGACTATCTGCATAAGTGGAAGGGTCCTTCGTGGTGGAACTTCTAAGTAAAATTGGCTCTTATACACGTTACACATTTGATTTGAAAGGAAAATATCACTATTGCATTAAAGTAATTGTGCTGCAAATGTAGATTTTATATGTATTATTTCTTTACTTATTATGTGATTTTCCCTTAGGCGCTACACGGAAAGGGAGGAATGACTCGTATCTACAATACACATGGGAAAAACCACGAAAACACGATGCAGCCAGCCCGTTTGCCGGGACTCGAACCCCGGACCGAATTACGAGTGTTCAGCTTTGATCGCTCGGCCGCTGGTGGACCGATAAGCCAAAATAGTCGAGTGACTACTCTTTTGCCATGGTTGCTGTATCACATTGGTAAGATTGTATACAATTAATTTATTTCGATAGCCGTTTTTATGAAAATATCCAAATATGTGTTGTATCAAAGACCTAGTTTATTATTGCTGATTAAACTAGAACACTAACAGGAAGCAGTGAGGGCTAAGCTTACACGTGGTGTTTAACTAAGGTGCAACACTGAAGGACACTAGGTTATGTCTTGTATATAATGTCTGATTGCAATCAAAAGCTAAAACCTAACGGTAACAGCAATGTCTTCAATATGTTTCCTTCGGAAGGGATGACGTGAGAAAAAAACAGATACAGATCCATTTGTCTCCAGCAGTACACAGAATCATCTTCGGTGTTATATAGTTTTTTCAAACTTGATTCACACACTTTTTACTTCCACTTTCGTTTCATAAGTTAATACCAAGAAGCTAATAAGCTTAAAATATGATGTGTCTCCCGGATCCACTCGCAATAATAACAAAATCTTGTTGGATGGAAGGTACATTTTTTAAAACGTAGTGCAGCTTAAGCCGTACAAAATGTGTGGGATGGCTTGCAGCGTTTATAAAACTGTAGAAATGGTGCTGGTAAGTTTTTCTAAAGCTTACAGTTGCACTTTATGTATGAAAATGGTAAATATGTTCTAAAGGCACCCAAAGAGATTTTAAGTTTTTTGGCAAAATTTAAATCAAAACACAGATTTTAAAAATTCTTAACCTAGGCGAGGATTGTGGAAAGTTACGCAATTAGTGTTAACCAGTTTCTAAGAAGTATTAATATTAATTAGTTAATGCTATTAATATTATTTATCAATAAATGCTTTTCACTTTACGCAATTCAGGTATTATTCTTTGACAGCTAAAATTGTTCTAATACAGATAATACTCAAGAGAAGAAAGGAATACGTCTATTCATTATTATCATCATATATACATACTATTTATTACTATTGGCATACATCCATTACTGTCGGCATACATTACATATAGCTGTAAATCCTGTATATTTTTAAGAAAGCGAGTGATAACAGTATTAGTTCCTTTTTTAAGCTTTTGAAAAACGTTTTTAAATACAAAATCAGGCTTAATCAAGGTACATTACTCTGTAGAGTCATTAGGTTATTTTTGAAGCACGAGAGATGAAAAATGAGCAATGCGCTCTCCGGGACTCGAACCTGGACCTTTCGAATATGTCCCGAGTGTGCTATCGTTACACCACGAAGGCATGCAGAAAGTAGGGAGAAAATACCTTATATACTCTCCATTTTCTAAAGGGCGACTAGGGATTAGGGGACCCAATCGCTAAATCCTGGTAGTGAAGAATCATTATTTACTACTTTTTTTTAGTTTGGGAGCTACTATAGACACATTTTCGAATTTTTCGAAAGAAGGAAATCGAAGAAATCCGCAGTGCTCTCGCTGAGATTCGAACCTTGCATCTGTCGAATACGCGCCAAATGTGTTACCGTTAGACCATGAAGGCATGCTGGAAAGGGGGGGAAAATACCTTATAGCTTCATCAGTTTGATTTGATAACAATATCTGTATACGTAGCTTAACTGTCTACCTATATCTTTTGAAATGAAGTCGAATACAACTTTCATCACTGTTCACAGTTACGACGAAATAACTTCTATTAACTACAAACTTTGCAGGACAGAAAGATATATGCTAATTCGACCGATTTCACAACCTCGACAAATATTAATCATCTAAACGTGTTCATTGACTTGTATTTCAGCGATAGATGCTTAAATTATGCTGAGAGAGAGGATTAGACAAATCCCAGTCTTTCCTGCGTTTGCAATTAACGATCAACAAGGCTTATTTACACGGATCGCAAATTAAATTGAATGTTGTCATGTGGATAATTCATTCCGTCACTGTTTTTCCAGTAATTGTTTGGAATAATTTAACTTCTAATTCGTTTACACGCTAGCAAGAATTAATTTAAAGCGATTTATGACGCTCCTTACTTAAAGAGTGGTTTTTGAGAAGATTTAAAAATTGCAGTTTTAACAAGCACATTTTACTAACCATTATATTCTTAATGGCAAAAATTAATTATATATGATATATGTTATAATGTTACGTGGAAAAAAAATATTTAACTTTTAAACTCAACTTTTAATTGACTACTTTCTTGGTGCCGCGACAAAAAAATAAATAAATAAATAAATAAATAAAAATAAATAAATAAAACTAAAATTAATTCTAAGTACTACTTAATTACTTTCACAATCAAAATAAAAAACACTTTAAAATCAAAGGAAAATATCCTGCCTCGTGTTTTGATAACAACAAAGATTATTTATCAAAACCAAAATGCGAAAAGGCATTTCCGTAACAAAATCTTTAACAGGCTATCTCTCACTAAAATAAAACTAATTCAGATCACCAACCTGAAACACATAAATTTTAATACAAATCTAGAGAAAGCCACACACTTAAGAAGTCTACTCAACAAATCAAGATAAATTAATTAAGCCGATCGTCACCAACACTTAAAACTGATTTTTCTCTACTACCGCAATATGGTTACCCAGCTTCGATATACTAACCATGTTTCCGTAAGGAACACACGGGTGACCTACAGTAGACCACAATTAAACACAAAGAAACATGCAATAATAAAAATAATAAACACATTTATTAAATAATTCAAATATTATAATTTAAAATAGCTGATCAGACTACCCCTATAAAACATACTCTTAAAATATACTCATTATTTCAATCTCATAGTTAACGTTATTCAAATTATACTAAATCATAATGAAACACGTCACAGTTTTTAATCATTTTAAACAGGAACTCAAGAAGTTTAAACTCATTTATAAAAGCTAGTTTAGAATAAATCATATTTCCTTCAACTGTTATACATCAGTATATTCATCCTCGGTCAATTGAAATTACATGAACATAGCACTTAAACATTAAATCAAAAATTCCCTTCCTCCAATTAGTTCAATTAACTTCTGACAATCAAGCATTAATAAAAAAAAATTAAATTCTCAGCTAGAAATTTAGTAACAATAAATATTCAGTTTTCATCTACTTGAACATGACAGCCCTTGCTTTAGTATTAAACATTTGCAAATTTATAAAGATTAATTATCAAAAAAAAAAGCACCAATGAAAAGATAAAGTCACTCACGAAATCCGCGTACGCACATATGAGGGACTCGGGGAGCTGCCCGAATCCAGTCACAAAACGTCGAAACAATAACTGTCAAATCTTCATCGATTTCAGGAACCGATATTGAAATCTGTTCAACGGGAATCTCAAGGGAGTTTTTTCATAGTTCCAGCACTAACCTCCGTCAAGCAGAATTTTAACTCAACAAAATCAACTTTTCTAAAATTTCAAAGTTCCACTGAAGATAACAGAAGGAGGTCGAAACTGGAGGCAACAAACCAAGGCAGACCTCAGGGGATGACGACGTCCCTCTTTCATATTTTCAAAAGCAAAACAGGAACTCCAGCACGAGCAGTTTAGACTCAATTCTTCCACAAGTGGAAAAAATATCAGCGACGAAATCGAAAATAATATAGGCCGCAGGACAGGAATCGCCGCCGTCCAACACGACGAGCACCCGCACCATCTCGGATAGGTAACCAGAATCTCGGAGATAAACAGCTTTAATTGTAAACCGCGGTCGACCCCCAAAGAGCAGCCGCGTTTTTTTTTCTCCTCTCCATCTTAGCACCTCACTGACCGCGGCCGGTCCCGAAAGGGCCGCCGTCAAGGAATCAAACCCACTAACGCTCTGAAAAATTTGCTAAACAAAATCTGCCAAAATCTGCTAAAAAAAAATTCTCTCCTCCTACCCTGCAACGGCAAAAAACTTCTCTCCTCCTACCCTGCAACGGCCATTACAACTTCTTCGGACTCACTAAATGTTCTAGCCGGTTTACTCCCTCTTCATATTAGAACTGAGGAAGAGGCTGTTCGTCAATTACTTGTGCAACTACGCAGGCCTATCACATGTGATGGAGAACATTATTTGCCTGATGACTATGAAGCAAAATTGAAACCTTTTAGTACTCATCCAGCAGACTATGGGGTTGAGTTAGGCCCCCATATTCCACCATCAGTGTTTCATAATTTTCAAGCCACGTGATATATACTGATGGCTCAAAGATAGATGATAACGTAGGAAGCGCTTTGTTGCTTTTCATGATAACTTCCTCTAGCCCACTGGAAAGGGACATTTATCTATGCAGAATAGTGTTTTTTCAAGGGGAAGCAGTGCGATAGCACGCGCTATCCGCTACTTGCTGACTCAGAATATAACACAGCGACAATCAATTCTGATAGCCTTTCTGTCATCCACGCCATTGGCAATCCTGAGCATTCCTCTCCAATTATACGAGACATTCAACAGGACTTACGTGCTTCTCTGTCTTTCACTATTCACTATTTCACTATTGGGTTAAACAGCATGTGGGAGAATATGGTAACGAACTTGCAGATGCCTATGCCAATGAGGCGGCTTCTGGTGATGCTGATGAGAATATATCCATTCCTTGGCCACATTCTTTTCTCAAGCGAACTTTACGTCTTCGAGCAATTAATAAGTGGCAAGAGGAATGGGACAATAGCTTCACCGGTCGACGTACTTTCTACCATCTTTCATATGATCGCTGCTGTGGCAATGCCCATCTTTCCCGTTACATTTCGGGGCATGCACCTTTTCCTGAATTCTTCGCACATTAGTGATACCAATGTCTGCAGTTGTGGTGAACTCGGCTCTCCGGAGCACTATTTAGCCAATTGTCCCCTGACAGAAGGCCTACACATACTATTTCCTACGCAAAATCGTCAGGCATTTTGCAAACTCTTAGTTAAGCAAAGACCCTGATCCGCAAACTAATTGCGTAATGGAGAAAGTCTTCCAGCGTTGGGCTTGACCTATGTCAAGTTTAATAATCTAAATGTTTTCAGGAAATGTATTAACCATGTACTATCTGCTTTTTGTAGCTAGACTGTTAATACAAATGAAATATAAGTTTGAACTGCAT